TGGGGGCCATTACAGCCTCATGGATTTCCCAGCCATTGTTTTTGATTAATGGAGATAGGTAAGCACTTTGTCAGAGAGGACCAGCTCAGCTTAAAATCTGTTCATTCTTTAGTTTTTCTCAAACTAGAATTATCACCCATGCTCAGAAAATTGGTACTCTTTCCTTCAGGGAGCCAGAGCTCTCACCCTTAACCTTGTGGTTACACCCAGATGTGTGCATTGCAAGAAATGAGTCAAGTAAAAACATGATATCATATAGGGATGGCAAATTTTGGGCCAGATAGTCACCCTGGGGCCTTCCTCACTCCAAAAAATTTGGGGTGAGTATAAATGTGGTTCACAGTCCTTTTTCCTCATGAGCCTGAACATAACTATGGCCAAAATCATCATCATTTGAAATGTACTTACCAACCCTGGTTGCCAACCCATAGCTACATAGAATGTAATTCATAAGTACCATATATATTGGCTTATACCTAATAATCTCTCTTCAAGGGTTTTGAATTCATTATTTAAATAATTTGGGCTAAAACACTGCTATGTGTAATAATTACCTGTTGACTTATATAATTTTAAAGATAAGCCCCCTTCAGTCAGAGGTAAACTAGAATGTTTAACTGATTGCAAAACAATTGTGGTTTTTCTAACATGTAAGATGCCTGTGAAAACCATACTACATCCAATTAGTGAAACGTGCTGAGCAAGTTCTAAATTTCCAGAGAACAATGGTTATAAAAATGGATATTGTGCCTGCTAGAAAGTCTGAATCCTTATATATTATACCAAAATATATTCCATTCAATACTCAGAAGTTTATATTCCTTTCACACATTTTTCAACCTTCTCATGTCAAAGCAGAGAAAATGACTATGTAGGCACAGGGATATTTTTTCATTTTTTTATTTTTATAGGAAGCACAAGCCAATCAATATCTTTCCAAGTATAAGAAGCAGCAACATGAGTTGAACGAAGCTAAGGAAAGGGCAGAGATAGCAGAATCTCAAGTCAATAAACTCAAGATTAAAGCAAAAGACTTTACAAAAAAGGTATGTCAGATATTCAACTTTGTTCTAATTCTTTTAATTTTCTTAATGTTTTTTATTTATTTCTGAGAGGGAGACACAAAACCCCAAATAGGCTCCAGGCTCTGAGCTTGCTGTCAGCACAGAGCCCGACGCAGGGCTCGAACCCACGAACCGTGAAATCATGACCTGAGCTGAAGTCGGACACTCAACCGACTGAGCCCCCGAGGCTCAACTTTGTTCTAATTCTTAAAGTGTGGGTGTCTAGGGCTCATGTCATCTGATGAGTAGAACAAGAAATTTCTTTTTTTTTTTTCTCTCTCTTTAAAGTCTTCCCTATTTACTAAGTTCTCCTTGTCCAGGTAATATTAAGTGCTAAGCATTTGGGTGGATTACACATTGTATTTATACTTCTCAAATGCTTAATTCCAGGTGAACTTATAGGTTCTGAGTTCCAGGCCCTAGATTCACTTTTATAAAACAGTCAGGGGGCACCTGCCTGGCTCAGTCATTTATGCATCTGACTTCAGCTCAGGTCATTATCTCCTGGTTCATGAGTTTGAACCCCGCATCAGGGTCTAACTTTACTAGCAGAGTGGCAGCATGACAAAGACCACTGAACACTGGGCTTGTTGGGGCCAGGATGTGTTTGGGTTACTATAACAGAATGCCAGAGACTGGGTGGCTTATAAACAACAAACATTTCTCACAGCTCTTTAGGCTGGGAAGTCCAGGATCGTGATGCTGGCAGATTCAATATCTGGTGAGGGCCACTTCCTCATAGATAGCTCTTTTCTCAATGTGTCCTCACACATAGTGCAAGGGTCAGGGCCGTGGGGGGGAGGGAGGAAGCTCTCTGGGGATTTTTTTTTTTTATAAGGCACTAATCCCATTCATAAGAACTCCACTCTCATACTTAAAGCCCCACCTCCTAACACCAGCACTGTGGGGACTGAGATTTCAACAGATGAATTTTGAGGTTATACTAACATTTGGACCATAGGAAGCTCAGCTTTCTTGCTGAGATTTGCCAGAACACAGGGTTTTTAAATGAGGTCTAGCTTTAGGAGAAATTAAAGAACATTGGATAAGACATTCACAGTCCTTTATGGAATGCCTATAGAACACTTAGCACAGATAGTCACCTTTTCATTTTTAAAAAATTGGTACCTGCCTGGTTTTATTATAAACGAATTACTAATAACACTGCAAGATAAGTAAACAGGGCTGCCCATAGTAAATACTACCTGGAGGGAGGTCAAAATCATCTCTTTTGAAGGAGAATCTAAAAGTTGGTTGTATTGAATAGGTTTAGATCTAAAGATGAGGCGCTTGGGTCATTGGCACACTCCAGAAAGTTCTCACTGATGCCTGAATAGTTGTCTTAGGGATAAAGCCTACGTGCAAAGGTCCTCGAGTGGTTTGAACCCCAGCCACAATTTGAGAGGGTCATGGCATTGGTCTTGGGTGCATACAAATCAATATGCCTGCCCCTCCACTGCACATAACAGTTTTGTTTGGGGAAATGCCTCACACAGGCTACATTGGCACTCAGCTGCAGGAGGTCAAAAGGGCTGCAAAACAGATGTTCGACTTTGTCACAGTTGTTTCCGACAAAGAATAAAATAAGTGCAGCAGAAATGGCTTCTGAGAGGCGCCAGATGAATAGGAAAGCCATCCTTGGCAGTGCGAGGACTAATTGTTTCCCATTTACAGAGGGAAAGCCTGAAAATCTTCAGCTGTCATAAACCAAGTGAAAACGTTTTCTGATAGAATTGTAGGTCTGGGCTGTGAAGCCAGTTGGTGATATGGCCACCACTTTTCCCTTTCTTTTGTGGAGGGCACTGTCTTCCCTGGCAAGGCTTGGCAAGCAGAAAATTCAGAGTACCCAAGCACGTCCTTCAGATGAATTACCTGTGTCTGCTTTCTGTAATGCACATAATTGCCTCAATTCCCCATATGCCTTTGAAGCTAATGAGGAGTTGGCTAAGGTCTGCTTACTCCGGAAAGGATTGGGCTTGGTTCTGGGTGTGTGTGCCACGGAGGAAAGTCACAGGAATTCACAGAACACACTCATATTGCTTTTCAGGCTCATGAAGAACAAGCAGTCCTTGCTCATGAAAAACAGAAGTTGGGCAAGTACAAGGATGGTACGATTTAATGGCTGAAAACTTAAGTTGCATTTGAAACAAGTTTATGTGGTATGAAATGCAGTTTAAACAAGGTGATTAGAAAATGTAGTAGAGTATCCTTGCTTCCCCAGGTTAATGGGGATTTTTTTTGGTCCTCAAATACAAGTAAACATTTTACATAGAAGATTAAATAATATGAGTCTTTTAAATTCTCAAGTTAAATACGTATTGCCTCAATGCATAATATTTATGGATGACACGTACAATGAGCCCTAGGTATGTTGGTAAATTATTACTGAAGTTAATGAATTTTGCTGGACTCATCCAACAATAAATCTATATTTTTAGGCACTAATGGTGGGAGTTGATCAACTTTTCTCTTAGCACTGTAAGTTACATATAGTCACAGGCACTTAGAATTATAGATAAAATCCTCCTAATCTATACTTGGGTGGACTATATGCTAGTGCATTTTTCAACACTGAAACATCTTCTCAGATAAGACAATCAGTTTAGTGTTCGGTGGAATGCTGGCTTTGTATGGTGCCAGTGTAGCTAAGCGAGAGATACATTTCTTGGATTTCCTCTCTGTTTGTTCTGGATTGCAGTTGGTCACAAGAGAAATTTTCACTACGTTTGAGAGGAAGTGGTAAAGATGCAGCTGTTCATTTTATGCTGTTAAGGTCGTGGTATGGCCCCAGGCACTGTGATACCTGGCAAATATAACCCTAGCCCAAAAGAGTGAGTTGGCAATGAAGATCCCTCCTTCAGCTTCAGACTCCTGGCCAAGTGTGGGCCTGGAGGCCCTGAGAGGCACAAGTTCCAGTTTGTTCTTAGGGATTTCAATTCATCCTCACTCCACATCTAGCTCTCCTTCCTGATCACTAGAACAGCTGGCCTACAGCTACCTTAAGTACAGCCCCAGATGCAGAGAGGACAGCCTGACCTGGACTTCTGGGCATTGGTGAAGAACTGTGTAAGGTTGATTCTATATAATAAATCTTTATTCTAGCATTCTCAGCAGTGAACCTCTGTGACCCAACCCTGACTCATACAGGTGGTTCCAATAATAATTCAAGGCTCGACAGCATTCAAGGACCCAAGTGCATTCTTGCCTGCCATCCTGAATTTATTGACTTTAGTCTTTCTCTATGTCCCTCCTCCTCACTGTAAGAAGACGATAGTAGATCTGAGCATTTGCTACTGCCATTTAAAGTTTTTCTTTATAATGATGTCAATACTTTACAGTTTATGATGAATACCTGTCATACCATTGAAGCAAACACTTAGAGACAATTGGACCGGGTAGCATTAACATATAATTCAAGGCTGATTTTCTCCCATAAACTATAGCGTCAAAACTTGATTAAGTCACAAAAATCCTGGTTACTTTTGTTTCTTATAAATTGATTAAAATTAAAGGGAAGCGATCAAGTCAGCTGGGCTATCCATTCTGCCTTTGCATAAAAATTTATGTGGAAATCTAAATTTATTATAAGGCTGATTAACAACATGACAACTGAGCCAGAAGAGTGAATCAAATTATCTTCATAGTTAATGTCACTCAGCTACGCAAACCTAGTGTTGGAAGGTATAACCTAACCCCAGAGATGTCAATTCTTGAGTTGATAGGACCCTTTGCTCTAGGCAATCTTGGAGATACTGACATTTTTAGACTTTGGAGTCCCTAAGACTCACCTTACTAAATTTAGTTTGGTTAAACTGATATTAACTATTCATATAAAACTGAAGTACAATACCTTAGCATAGCAATTGTTCTTTTTCACCAAGGTGATTTCTGCTTCTGTGTGCTCTCTCACCCATCATTAGTTGATCAGATTTTGAATCAACACTTAGTGATAATTTCTTCCAAGATCTTGATGGGAGTCTCACTGTGGCCTCTTTGGCTGATGGAATTGGAATCCTTGGCATTCAGGCATTCATAATCTTGATGCAGCTAGGGAGTTGTGAGTGATGGTTAGGACTTGAAGAGTAAATGTTATAGTGGAAAAGACAATGGTTGCAAGTTTTTCCAATGGTGAAGAGAGAATAAGTGAAGTCACTGGATATTAAGGATGGTCACCATGTGTTAAAGCAGTCCTGCTTCATGTCCTGTACTGTCTGGGTGTTTTGAAAGAGCCTAGAACCAAGAAAAATGGGACTTTACATGGCCATTGTTCATGTCAGAATACCCATTTTTATCTTAAGCATTTAATGATGGTACTGTTTTGTCTTGGCTTGGGGAGAGGGGAGCTCTAAGGCTATTGTTTGCATCTATAATCAGGGATCCATGAGACAGTTATAAGTAGCTATGAAGTCTCAATTTTAATCTCCCTCCTAGATTAGTTCCTGAGTTTTTAACCAGTAGAAAATGAAGTTTACTCCACTCTTTGCTCTCATTTATATTCTGATTAATGGACTCACAAAAGGTGTACAGCAGCAAAAAGTTTAAACTCCATTTTATGTAACTGAATTTGCAATCAAACTATAATTTGCAAGTAAATTCAGTCCCCAAGGAGCGTAGAAGTGGCTGGAAAAGTATAGATGGCCAGCCATCTGAATCTGGCCAGAAACTGTAATTTGCTTTTCTCTACTTTGTATTTCTTTTGACTTCTATTCAGTCCCATGCTTCCATCGGAAGAATAAATACATTGGTGCACCATCATATGAAGTGCCATTGGATATCTCTATAAATAACAGTAGGAAGTGAGAAGAGCAGCCACTTATTTAAGTAGCACAGGTTTAATTATAGACATTGGAAAAAGTCCTAATTGTATTTTTATCCTGTTAAGTTATCCTGTGATCCCTCTCGCCCTTTTTTTCCCCTCTATAAAAGTCTTGCATGATGATATGTGAATCAATCACCTTTTCACAGTAGCATTCTTATACTATCAATGGTTTGATAAAGGTAAGACCTTACCTTGTTTTCTTCTGTATCATTAGCAGTGTTGGCTCTCTCATCAGTAGAGACAGAATACTTTTCTACAGGGAAAAAAGAAACACTTAAAAACAATCTCTTTGCAAACACTCAGCTTCCTACTTATTCCTACCTCAGTACAATTATGTTGTTAAGATTCACCTTAGTCACTCCTCCTTTCATATCTTTCTTCCAACAAACAGCATTCAAAACGCATTCAGTGTAGAAATACCTCATCACCTACAAATAGCAATAAATTCTTACAGCTGATCTAGGTGCTCCAAAGCAAGGATAAAGGCTGTTCAACCAGGCCAAGAATTCCTGGCTTTTTAGGATTGTTGGCCTGATTCCTACTAACTGTTAACAATAGAAAATAACAGCCAAAGAGATGATGGTTAAGCCCAGAGTGATGGCAGAGGAGAAGGGATATAACACCATTTTCCAAGGAAGGCCTTCCTTTTGTGCATTGCTAAAATCTGGTGCAATTTATACTTCTCCTAGACTAAGGACATTTTAAAACAGTACTAGGAAAAGAGAATTTAAAGAAGAAGAACATGAATCATGGTCATATGAAACTACAGCCAAGGATCTGGAGGTAGGCAAGGCTTGGGGGCCATTGGTGTTACAGCTTGAAATATATTTTTAGCCTGTCTTTTTTTTTTTTAATGTTTTTATTTATTTCCAGGAGAGAAAGAGAGAGACAGCATGAGCAGGGGAGGGTCAGAGAGAGAGGGAGTCACAGACTGAAACAGGCTCCAGGCTCTGAGCTGGCAGTCAGCACAGAGCCCGACGCGGGGCTCGAACCCACGAACCGCGAGATCATGACCTAAGCGAAAGCCGGACGCTTAACCGACTAAGCCACCCAGGCGCCCCTATTTTTAGCCTATCTAACTACAGAACTACAGAAAAAAAAATTTTTTTTTAAGTAGCAAATACCCTGACGTTGTTTTTGTTGATACCTGCTGATTGCTTCTCCAGAATCAGAACCCAGCTTCCTGTCTCAGCCCTGGGAAGCTTACCTGAATAGATTCCTTTTAGTGTTCCTTCTGGCTTCCAGTTGAGGTGGAGATCAGAGAAAGGGAAAATCACATATTTATTCTTCCAGCTCTTTCCTCTTAAGGTCTTCTTGGTCTGTCTGTGTCCTTCACCTGAAAGTCATTCTCCCTGCAAGGCATCTGATGTTACATGACTCTCTCCTTCCAGGTTCTGGGAACTGCACCCTCTCCTTGTCCCTTCAAGCTCATATTTGGTGGCAAATCAGCTGCTCCCAGTTCCAGGGAAATGCACTATCTTTTGTGTTCCCTTTTGTACAGTTTTGGGTGTGCCAGGTGTTTTCTGTTCGGTCTTGCCTTTTGCACACTTCCAACATAGAAAGTAGAATGCCATTCTTGAGCAGTATGTAGTGCCCCTCTGTTCTGTAATTTGAACCCTAATCTAGTCACAATTGTCATTATATATCAGGTCAGAAGTTGTGTCTGGAGGACAAACTAGACTAGCCTAGGATTTCCCATTTTGTTTACTTCCGGCCAGCTGAGGGACAGGAGGAACAAGCACTAAGCAGGACTAGCCTGCCAATTAGTACGAACAATCACAGGGGTAGAACTGGTGAAACTCTTTCTCAGTGTCACACTTAACAATCTTATCTTCAACAATGGTGTCTGTGACCAAATCACTTAACTTCCCCAGGGACAAAAGGCAATTATCAACCAGAGGAAGGGACATGAGATAGATCTCAACCTCCCAGGACACTCGGTCTTCTCACCAAGATTATGGAGTAAGAGTTACTTGGAGCCTAGATCTACCTCTGCCACTAGGTAGCTTCATCCATCTTAAGTGGTATACCTGAGACTGTTTCTGTCCCTAACTACCTGGATTCCAGTTTCTTGGTCTATAAAATGTGGAAATAAGTAGGTTTAAGTTTTTCCTGGATCTAAGTCTGTCAATAAAGGCAAAGTCTTCTAAGAAGTTCTGTGACCATGGCATCTTAATGTATAATTTTAAATTACCATGAGTAATTAAATTACTGTAAGTAACACAGGGCTGTCCCAGAACATCTAGAGAGTACAGGGACTAAAGCAAGTCCAGACCAAGGGGGCAAACTCTCTCCAACGGCATCCATTTTTAAAGTTTGGGCTGATTTCATTCCAGCTATATTTCAATGCAAGATAAATTTGATCATTTTGTGTATTAATGCCAGATTTAAATTTTTTCAGTGTGCTCTAGTGCGCATGTGCTTGTATATAACTTGTTATATCTTTGACCATTTAACTCAGGATAAACTTGTTAGAAGCAGAATAGTTAGGTGGAAATGTGGGAGCATTTTAAAAGATTGCTGATAAATTTTAGGAATGAATCTCTAAAATATTCAGGTCTGTTTACAGGTCATCCTTGATACACCTCTACTTGAACACCCAGGGACAGAGCCCAAATACTCCATGAGATACCTACCTCTGCTGAAATGGATGCAACTTCTCGACTTAATAAGGGACATGCAAAATATCAGCAAAACCAAAGGCACCAGAGATAGGATAATTATCCAGGTGGTTCCTTTTTGACTCTGTTCTAAATAAAACAAAAAGTCTATAAACTGGAAGGAAAATTACCAAAGGAAACATTTACTGTTTTGAAAACTAGTTATTTATGGGGCGCCTGGGTGGCTTAGTCGGTTAAGCGTCCGACTTTCGCTTAGGTCATGATCTCGCGGTTCGTGGGTTCGAGCCCCGCGTCGGGCTCTGTGCTGACTGCCAGCCCAGAGCCTGGAGCCTGTTTCAGAGTCTGTGACTCCCTCTCTCTCTGACCCTCCCCTACTCACGCTGTCTCTCTCTCTCTCTCTCTCCCCTAGAAATAATTTAAAAAATATTTTTAAAAAAATGTTTTAAAAAACTAGTTATTTCTACATTCATGAGCATAAATACCTCACAGTCTCAATGCCTCTACTGTGGGAAACCTGCATAAGCTGGAATATTAACCAATTAGGGGCTTAGTAGGGAGTGGGTGTCAGAGGAGAAAAAGTCTGCAGACTTGAAAGCAATGAGTCTATTATGCACTGTGAGTTCCTATTTTTTATATTGTAAAGGGAATTAACAAAGAGATACTTAGGACTGTAGACTAACCTCAGCTCACCATTCTCCTTGGAGGGTGAAGGGAGAGCGGAGCTCACCCTTGGCTTGAATAAGACAGGGGCATGGAGGAACAAGGGTAAGTACAGAGGTGATGAGCAGAGTGGTGTAGGAGCCACAGTCTTGAGTGAGAGGTGACAGGTGAACACCAGGAGAACAGAGAGTGCTTAATACTCCACAGAATCATTGGAGTAGCTAGAGTTTTGTCAGCATTGTTGTTGGAACTATAATTGTAATTAGTATTAAAAGAAGTAGGACTCAGAAGGCAGAAACTTGAAGACCTTAAGTTACCTGCTCATCTTGTGATCTATGTTCTGCAGAGTGGGGGCAAGCGTTAGAGCACATAGGCCAATTCAAGGTGAGAAAATGTTTATAGCTATTCTTTACAATGAATAGCTCTATATAACAGATGCCCATTATTATGAACATACTCTTTATTAATAATGTTTTGCAATCACTAAAACATTAGTCTCTCTCTCTCTATTGTGTCATTCTGAAATTCTATACTCATATGGAGGGTGAGCAATTTAAGTAGAAATGTTGACTTTCAAAAGTGTTTTCATATGCACACTTTTCCTCCTGAAGAAAACCCTGCAAGGCATAGCATTTTCTTACTTTACTCATGACCATCTTTTCCCCATCTGTAAAGAGATTTGCCCAACATCACATAGTGATTCTACAAAATTTAGCAAGAATTATTAACTTCCGTTCAATTCTACATAACTTTTATGGAGTAGATCTAGACTCTAGGAATCATAACCCCCTTACCCCCAAATCTGGGCCTCCTTTTCAAATGTTGCAGCATCTCCAGAGCAAGATAACAAGTAGAAAATTGCAATTCAGAACAGAAAACCAAGTTTCCTCAAAAGAATGGTGTCGAGGATACTAGTAGTGTTTGCCCTGTTTTCTGCCCTGTGGGGGTAGCTCCCGCTACACATCTCTCCCTGGGAGTAAGTGTGAGAAGATCCTCCTCTGGTTTCAATGGGCCAGGGTTTACTTGGAATGGTCCTGATGCTTTGTGTAAACTAAAGATTAGATCTCTGATTAGAAAGATGGGTCATATGTGGTCTTCAGACAGTTTCTTCCTGCTTTTTTCCTCACACTCCAAAATGAGGCAACGTTTGAAAAATAGAATGAAAGCTTAGCTGTATTTTACATAAACCTAGCATTCTTATTTTGGAGAAAAATAGGCACTTCAAATGCACCCCACTTTTCAGCATTCTCAGAATGACAGCTCTCCACAAAGGGAATATTGTGCTCAGTGTTAGAAGCTTCTATTTGAAGACCACTTGACCTAAGGACAACTTATCTCCATATTTGTTATTCCTCCTAATTTTCATGACTAGAATGATAGAAAAACTTTAAGGCAAATATTCAACTGACTCAAGTATCTTTAATACATAATACTGATGATCTATGATCTCAAGTAGATAGCTTAAGGGTAAGGGGATCAACCATCCCACCTAGAAAGTCAACTTTAGGAGTACATATGCCATCACTCTAAAATATTTCTGGTCCACTCTCCATAAAGATTCTCGGCAGTTAACTATCAGTGGAGGTAAAAAAAATGAGCTGAATTAGGCATCACTTAGTGCTTCCAAAGTCCTTTGGTGACTGTTTCCACCAGGTTCACAGACCATCTACCAGAGTCCCAGATCTAACTTCTTACTGTGCCTGAAGCCTCAACTCCCCAAACCCTAGGCTCTAAAGCACAGGTTAAGCATAGTAGCTAAGCAGAAATTGAGGATGTTCAGATCATGAGTCACCAAATCAAGTAAATTCCCTCTACATTTCTGAAGCCCTGAAACCATGAAGAGGAAATCTTATATGGGAGTAAAAACAGTTGTTTTTCAATGCAGGATTTTTGTGTGTTTGAAAGAAGTATGTTGACCAGAAGTATCACCATAGATAACATTTTCAAGAATACTAATCAAAATTATTCTTTAAATGCCAAAACCTAATTTCCCTGTTTGATATTCACATTCTCTATTGCTATAGCCAAAATCCATTACCCAACCCTACTTGTAACTTACCTACTATCTGCAGCATTTGGATGGTGAGGAAGGTATATTTGCTTGAACAACTATTGTGCAAGTATTTCCCACTGTTTGAAAGACTAAGATCCTTCAAAGTCAGAAAAGTGACTCTTTTTTTAGGTCTTTGTTCCATGAAAATCGGGGTTCATTGATAATTGTATCTTGTGAGAAGCTCAGAAAGTGAGCCATGATGGAGGAGATCTCCTTTTCCATTTTGGAGCAATTGACTATGAAATCTTGATTCAGTAAAAAAAAAAAAAAAAAAAAAAAGTACTGTTTGCAAGTTTTCATGAGAGTGCAACAATTTCACTCTGCATTTTATGAAGGTCATCTAATAACAGGATAGAAAAGGAAACATCAATGAAAATACAATTTTCAAATGAATATTCTAAGTTACACTTAGAAATGCATTTCTTGAAGAAAAGCTGTGCTACCACCATTTTACCACTTCCCAAGGTTAAGTTTAGGCTTTTAAGGAGGCCTAAACCTGGGCCAGCTAGCACTTTTTCACTCCTTGTATCTAACTCCTACAGCCCTATAGTGAGTACTCAAGAATGTTGCTACCAGCCTTTCAAACTCAGTGGTCTTCTGTTGACCCCTCAAATGCGAGTATTCCCCAGAACTCCCCTCTTGTCACTGTTTACTCCCTAGTAATCCCTGTTACTTGTATGGTCTCAACCACTTATTAATTGTTCTTTCTGTACAAAGTCCCTGTTCCTGCACATTACTAGTATATTTCCAACTATGTGGAGGTAGGTCCCCACTGGACTGAGCTCTGTTAGAGCAGAGACTATGCTAGGTATTCTCAGCTTGCCCCTCTAGATCCAGATCCATCTTTTCTTTCCTATTCTATAGCTCCATAGCTGACCTCTGTGGATTACCATGAATTCTCTCCCTAGGCTCTAGACTTACTTCACACTCCACCTGCAAGACTGATGCCACAGTGAGCCATCTCAAATGCAAATCCGGGTCTCTTTGATGCCTCAAATCCTTCTTTGGCTCCATACTTCCTCCAGAGCCCTGGTCAAGCTACTTAGCAAGACCAAAGCCCTCAATCTGATTTTTGCCTCCCTCTCCAGGTTTATCTCTTGCTACTTTAGCTTCACCCTCAACCACTTCTAAAAATTCAGGCAATATTTACTCCTTTGTGCTCTTGTGTTTTTTAACCTGGAATGCCTATGTCCTCTGGAAATTCCCCATTTTCTTTTAAACTCCTGCCCAATGCAACCTCCTTAAGCATATATTCTCTAACAACCCCATTCATATCCAACCATAGGAAACAGAATTAATTGCTCCCTTTGCTATGCTGTTTTCCTAGTTCAATTTTTACATGTTTTTACTAGATGCTGTGGATCCAGAAATGAGTAAGAGTCCACATTTTTAAGTTCACAGTCTGAGAGCAACAAACTTGGCATATAAAAATCCCCAACAAGAGGAAATAGCACTGAGTTTAAGGAACTGTAGATGCTTCTGGATACTCCATTCTGAATAAATGTGAGAAAATATAATTTTCCATAGAAAGTATTTACAATTTAACATTTTCATTTCAACACTTTTCCATATTCCCATTACTGCCTGAAAAAGTGAATATTGGGTGTTCCTGCCTTCAATGCTGGAATGATGTAAAGTTGGTGAATCACTCATAATTCAGGGTCTTCTTGGCAAGCACTTTGAGAATCCGAAACTTGGGAAAGAAGCCCAAAAAGGATAGCTAACTTCTACTTTCTCCATATAATGAAGATTTACTTAAAAAATTTTTTGCTTTGCTTCTAAAATAGAAAACATTTTTCCTTGGAATTGCATAAGAAATATCAAATTAATTTTTCTTTCTCTTAATTTTAAATAGCAGGTTACAGATTTAGAGATTGATCAAAATTAGTTTTTTTTCAAATAAATAAGAGGAAGGAGCATCAAGAACATTTCATGCTATGATAGCACTGTTGATAAAGCTCAATGGGATAATACTATGTAAAGAGAACAAACAGGCAATGCTACTAATGAATTTTTGCGTAGTTGGAAGAATGGCGAACATCACAGATTGTAAATAGTCAAGTATCCTCTCATCTTTTGAAGTGCAGTGCAGGTAGGAAATCCTGTTTAGAGGACACATCATAGAGAAATATAATATTCATGAATAGATTTGCTACTTTCCATTTCACAAATGTTTGCCTTCAATTCAAACACCTAACAGGTAGGAATTACTTCTGTTTTGCCAATGAGGAGCCAGTGCTTAGAGCTAAAAATGGTTGCTTAAAATAAGACAGCCAGTGTATATCAAACCTACGACGATCGTTTTGGTCTTCTAACTGGTGCAGATGCATTTTCTTTCTTTGGTGCTTCCTTTTTTCCCCGTAAATGAATCCTAATTCTCTCCCAACCTCCGACATAGCACATGCACATGGAAAACCCAAAGGAGCCTACCTTTCATTGTCTATTCCCCTGTCCATGTTTGTTTCAGCAATGAGTTTTCAATAGCACATTTGTAAGATAAATCTGATCCTGTAATGTTTATCATACTATTTATATAAAAACCCAAAGACTCGGTTTCTTCCATATTATTTTCAGAGATGGGTGTATTGTCCATTTTCCATGTGATAAGTGGATGAAGATAAATACCGCACACACTGCATATTAAGGAGCTATCTGTGTTCGTCAAACTTTATCACAGGTGTGATGAAAGCTAGGAGGGAGAAAGAAGAGCATTTGAGGGACTGTCATTAGCTTCTCTTTAAGCCATCTGTGCAAAGCACTTATTTTAATACCCATGAATTGAAAAACTAAGCTTTATGAGTAAAACTTGGCAGTTATGAAAGGAAAAAGAAAACAAAAACTCTGTAGAAACTTAAGATACAGTCTGGTTATCTACAAGTGAAAGAAAAAAGCATATGCACATACTTAGCAACTAGCAATCTTCATTCTCTGGCAAGAATTCTAGAAAGAAATCTAATGACCTCAACGAGCCACAAATATAAACTAGAGCTCATGTAGTGCTCTGTACTCTTCAGGTAATAACCCAGAGCCTTTTTGATTCTTTGTTTACACATGAGTTTTAGATTTCTGCATGAAGATCTGAAGCAGCTAAATAAGAGAGATGAGAAGAAACACGTGCTGGATAAAACAACCCACTAGAAAATGCCCCTCCCCCCAATAAATAAATACGGACAGGCGGAAAGCATATAAATTAAAATTTAACTTAATAAAACAAAAATTAAGCCAGTAATTCAACATTTTAAAAGATAGCATATGACCACAAATTCATATTAGATGCTGACAAGACTAAGGTGTCAAAGTAATGTATTAAAATTTTCTGATGCTTTTCTTTCAGATCATTTCCCACTGTTAAATACAAGAATGCTCATCACAACATTTTTGCATAAAACACTGGAAATACCTGAACATCTACCAGTAGAGGAATGAATGTATCAAACATGGCATGTCTATACTGTGAGATACCATGCATTTAAAAATTGAGGTAGATTTGTATGTATTGACTTGGAAGGTAGCGCATAGCATATTCAATTAAGAAAAAGATATTTTAGAAAAACATGGAATGATATTATTGCTGTGTTTTATAAAACCCTTTGTGATACTTACCTCCCACCTTTAATACTACTTTGTTTATGATGTTTCTAGATGCTGTTCCCACAAAACATATGTAAAGTCCTTCATAGAGAAGGCTTAATCTTCTCAAAGATAAGGAGGTGTTCCCATTGTAAATTTCACTATGAAAGAGGGATATCCTGTTTGTACATCTATGATCTTGCCTTTCCAAATAGTCACGGTCTTTGTAGTGTGAGGACACATAGCTCTGATTCTTCCAATGAATTACTACTTCAGGTGCACTCTTAAATAAGCAAGGGGGCATTCCATCTTCACCAAGTCTTCCAATGACTATTTGCTCTTCCTTAATATCATCAAGATTTGAGGAAGACAATAGAGATGTATCTAAAAATCAAGAGCAGTTATGAGGGGAATTAGCGATGGATGCTTATCAAGGGCTGTATAAGGACCACTTAGAAGAACTATGCTGGGTCAGCAGCCTGGAATTAAGACCATACCATCAAGAAACCTTACTAGTCTGATTACTAGAAACAAGCCATGAGGCTTGTGTTAAGAGTTTCTGCAATTGTGTATTATATACACAAAAGAGTCCTGCTGATTTTTATTCCATGAACCCATTTACTTCTAATACTTACAACAACAACAACAAAATCGTTTATTCAGCTAGCTTAGAGTCAGCAGGCCCTAAACAAATAGAACCAACTTAACTTGGTTTCATCGGGAAATATTTGGAGTATGTAGAAGACAATGCTGGATTCAGAAATCTGTTAGGAATATGCAGACCTTAATCTCAAGCAACAGAGCACACGGACAGGAGGGGCCCAAGAGGTAAAATGAAATGACTCATGTATTTTGGCTTTAGGACACCTCTCAGGATGTCCTATGTGTCAAATGAAATACAGCTAAGGAATAGTGTTCTGGATATTAACGTGGAAGTCCAATCATCCTGCAATATATATTTATACATATAGTTGTTTACTATTAACTTCAGAAGTTGACTTTGAAAAGCAGATGAAGGGCGCCTGGGTGGCTCAGTCAGTTAAGTGTTCGACTTTAGCTCAGGTCATGATCACACAGTTTGTGGGTTCGAGCCCCTCGTCGGGCTCTGTGCTGACAGCTAGTCAGAGCCTGGAGCCTGTTTCGAATTCTGTGTCTCCCTCTCTCTCAGAAATTAAAAAAAAAACATAAAAAAAAAGAATCAGTTATTTGAAATGGATTCCACTTTAAAAAAAAAAAAAAAAGAAAAAGCAGATGGACTTGTCACAATCAATGTTTTTGCAAAGAAAATATATTTAGCCATATCATAATCCTTGAAGGTAGCATATAGCTTCTTTGACTAATTCATGACACATTGTAGGTAGATTGTGTACCCTCTCTATGGATTTTAGGATAATTGGACTAGAAAGAGAACAGAGTAAACTCCTTTAGACCTTGGCCAAACCTACCCAAGACAAGAGAATTAAGTGCTCATGTGGACCTGTCACAGTCGTTTTCCTCTGCCTTCTCCTCTGGAGCTCCTTCTAGTCTGCCATGTCCCACTTCTCTCCCTTAGATTTAGTTTATTTATGTACAAAGAGCTAGAGGGGTGCGCTCTTATGCTGAGAGAAAGACACGGAAAGGTGGAGAAGAAAGGGAGTGTTTTTGTCAACCTCCCTAATTGCTAATAAACACCTCTAATATCTCATGGATAATTTAAAAATGCCCATGACAGGACAAGAAGCAAAGAAGCTAATGCCTTCTGTTAAGTGTTAAGCACCAAGCTTACCCTTGGGGGAAAAAAATCAATCACCAGTCAATCAAACTTGCCTATCTAGTGATTTTATATCTGGTAGCAGATAACACATTAGGAGAAGCTTTAGAGTAGACAGGAGAAAATAGCATTTTTAATCTTCAGGCAGGACCTCCAGTCTGTTTCCTATTTCTCTTCAAGTGACCTTTTAGAAAGGGTCACAATGCTATGGCTACAGAGGAAACCACCACCTTGCATTGTGTGCTCATGTTCCCATCTAGTGGTACAAATAACACTTGGTTACATTATAAAGGAACTCACCCTGAAATCCACTTAGAGGTGAGCCAGGGGTGAGGATGACAGACAGCACTTCCTGTACCTTCACGTCATATGGAGATCACACTAGTTACAGTATCAAAGACAAGCAAAACATGCATATTATAGATTTCAAATGCAAATAGGAATAGGATATGAAAGTGTTTGGGGTATCTGGGTGGCTCAGTCCATTGAGCTTCCAACTTTGGCTCAGGTCTTGATCTCACAGTTTGTGAGTTCAAGCCCCGTGTCGGACTCAGTGCTGAAAGCTCAGAGCCCAGAGCCTGCTTCAGATTCTGTGTCTCCTTCTTTCTTTCTGTTCCTCCCCCACTCATGGTCTGTCTCACTCCATCTCTCAAAAATAAATGTTTAAAAAAAAAAAAAGAAAGACAGCATCTGACTATCGTAGATCAGTTAAATAAACTATGGTGCATCCATACCAATCATTCTTCTGCAGTCGTTAAAGATGATATTGTAATAGTTGGTTCAATGGCATGGAAAGAAGTTTTTAATTTTACAGGAGAAAAATCAGATTACAATGTAACTTGTAAGTAGCATAATCCCTTTTTAAATGCACACCCATTTCTGCACATAGGCGAGAGCCATGTCACTAAATACACACTAGGATATTAACTCTGCAGAGCTGATCACATCTAAAGCAGTGTCTACTGTCTAGTAGGTAGTGAGAAATGGCTGTTGAGTAAATAAAGATTTGGTATATGGTCAACAGTGGTTCTCTGGAGAACAGTTTTTGTTATGTTTAAAGCTTTCTACAGTGGATATGCAGTGCTTTTACAGTAAAAATACTAAAAACAAACTCAGTTAAGTATTAATGCCAATGATGTCAACTATGGTATTTATAATCATACACCAAAAGAGGGGTGCCTGGGTGCCTCAGTCCATTAAGGGTCTGACTTTGGATCAGGTTGTTATCTTACAATTTGTTGAATTTGAGCCCTGCATCAGACTCTGTGCTGACAGCTCAGAGCCTAGACCCTGCTTCAGATTCTATGTCTCTCTCTCTCTCTCTCTCTCAAAAGTAAACATTAAAACAATAAAATATAATATGGGGTGTCTGGGTGACTCGGTTGAGCATCTGACTTCAGCTCAGGTCATGATTTCACGGTCTGTGGGTTCGAGCTCCACATCAGGCTCTGTGCTAACAGCTCAGAGCCTGGAGCCTGTTTCAGATTCTGTGTCTCATTCTCTCTCTGCCCCTCCCCAATTTGTACTCTTTCTTTGTCTCTTAAAAATAAATGTAAAAAAACCCCACAAAAATACTAATAAAATATAATCACATACACAAAAAATCTAGACACATTCTTATAATCATAATAGTACAGATCATAATGCAGTCATTAAAATCACAATTTACAGTGGATGTTTCAAAAACTAAAAAGAAACATAAGAAAATATAGATGGCAAACTGTATACACACAATATAATGCCAAGTAAGTAACATATAACTGGTTTTCTCTGATGATAGGATTGTAGATCATTTTTATTCTTAAAAAATAGCTTGTTTAAAGAATAGCATATGATTAGTTTTAAAAACCTGTAAAAGAAATTTTAAAAGAAATCACTTGGGAGCCATTCTATTAAAAAGTTGTATCATAAATTTGCTGTAGGATATGAGCTTTAAGAATAATTAAAACTATTCAAAAAATATCATTTGGGGGCATGTGGGTGGTATAGTCAGTTGGGCATTCAACTCTCGATCTCAACTCAGGCCATGATCTCACAGGTTCGTGGGTTCCAGCCCCACCTGTGGCTGTGTGGTGATGCTGTGGAGCCTTCTTGGGATTCTCTCTCCTCCTCTCTGCCCCTCCCCCGCTTGTGCACTAGCATTTGCGCTCGCTCTCGCTCGCTCTCTCTCTAATTAAAAAAAATTAATTCACTTATCACATCAAAATAAAAACTGATAGGGGCTCCTGGGTGGCTCAGTTGGTTAAGCATCTGACTTTGGTCATGATCCCGCGGTTCATGGGTTCCAGCCCCGCGTCGGGCTCTGTGCTGACTGCCCAGAGCCTGGAGCCTGCTTTGGATTCTGGTCTCCCTCTCTCTCTGCTCCTCCCCCATTCATACTCTTGTTTCTCTCGGTCTCTCTAAAATAAATAAAAGTTTAAAAAAATAAAAAATAAAAACTGATAGAATAATTTATAATTTCATCTTTGCATTTTAAAAACTAGAAGAAAACAATCATATATGCAGCCTTAGATGAGGGCCTTCTTTAGCAGGACTATACGTTTTTTATATAGATCTACATAAAAACTGGAGAAGCAACAAGAATATATTAAGATACAAATAAACAGAATACATTTACAATACGACAAAGTTGTCACTCCAATAGCCCAGAGCAAGAGATAAAATGTTTGGCAAAGCAAAAACTTGTAAAATCATATTAGTTATGAAAATAAGACCTTTAGGGATACCTGGGTGGTTCAGTCAGTTAAGAGTCTGACTTGATTTCCCCAGCTCATGATCTCATGGTTCATGAATTCAAGCCCTGCATTAAGCCCCATGCGGGCCTTTGTGCTGACAGCGCAGATCCTGCTAGGGATTCTCTCTCTCTTTCTCTCTGCCCCTCTTCTGCTCTCTTTCTCTCTCTCTCTCTCTCTCTCTCAAAATAAACATTAAAAAAAAGAAAAGAAAACCTTTATATTTTCTCTTGTAGATGTATTTGCATGTATAATGTATGAAAAGATGTGGCACAATGATATTTCTGAATAGTAAGATTACAAGTAATCACTAAGCTCATCTTCTGCATGAACATCTGTAAATGTATAATATTTTTTTACCTTTATAGACTACTTTAAAAAAAAAAGAATTAAACACTTTCCAAACAATAATTCACTTGAATGTACTTTGCTTCAGGTACCTTTGGGGCATTCCATGTCCAATGTCTTACTATATAGGTTCACTTTCTCATTCTTCATAATGACTCCAGTATTTGCTACCTTTTCTTGAAATTTCCAACAGCCCCTTTTTCCAGGTCTCTTTCAGCTGATGCTCTGGTTTCATGAATTATAATTTATTATGGGTACTCCCTCACCCCCTACATCAATTCAACCAACCCATTAACAGCTGTGTCTGTCTTCCTTTCCTGTCTCCCCTTCTCTTCTTATACAAAGCCAAACCCTTCACTTTTGCTCTGTAGCTCATATTTTTTACATGCAAGAAATTTGTCCCTGCAATTATAACCCCTCCTTTACTGAATCATTTGATTCTCTCTCTTCACTAGATTAATACCATGAGTAAGTTCTATTGTAAGAACATGAAAAAGGACCATTGTATTCTCCTCTGGCTCTTGGTTAGCTATCTATTTCTTAGCTCTTACTAA